GTATGTTGCTAGTGTTTGGTTAACATCTGGCCTTAAAGGTTCCCTACCCAGGGGCCAGGAGGGTGTTCCCATTACCGGGGTGAGTGCTGCAGCTGCATGCCCACCCCTGCACTGTAATTTTCCTCAGTCCATGTGCTCATCCTTTCTCACCCTGCAGGGTGAGCATCCAACATACAGTGGTGTAACACCGACCCCGTGAACAGTGGTATGCATACCACATCTAGCATATCATGTTACATGTACGTCTTGCATAGCAGTTCAATAAAGTGCGCCCATTGGGCGCGATGGTAGCCGCGCCACACATCCGCCTGTTGACCGTCGCGCCCATTGGGCGCGATGGTAGCCATGATGCACATCCGCCTGTTGACTGTCGCGCCCATTGGGCGCGATGGTAGCCGCGCTGCACATCCGCCTGTTCACCGTCGCGCCCATTGGGCGCGATGGTAGCCGCGCTGCACATCCGCCTGTTGACCGTCGCGCCCATTGGGCACGATGGTAGCCGCGCCACACATCTGCCTGTTCACCGTCGCGCCCATTGGGCGCGATGGTAGCCGCCTCACACGTCCGCCTGTTGACCGTCGTGCCCATTGGGCGCGATGGTAGCCGCGCTGCACATCCGCCTGTTTACCGTCGCGCCCATTGGGCGCGATGGTAGCCACGCCGCACATCCGCCTGTTTACCGTCGCGCCCATTGGGCGCGATGGTAGCCGCGCCGCACATCTGCCTGTTCACCGTTGCGCCCATTGGGCGCGATGGTAGCCGCCTCACACGTCCGCCTGTTGACCGTCGCACCCATTGGGCGTGATGGTAGCCGCCTCACACGTCCGCCTGTTCACCGTCGTGCCCATTGGGCGCGATGGTAGCCGCGCTGCACATCCGCCTGTTGACCATCACGCCCATTGGGCGCGATGGTAGCCGCGCTGCACATCCGCCTGTTCACCGTCGCGCCCATTGGGCGCGATGGTAGCCGCCTCACACGTCCGCCTGTTGACCGTCGCACCCATTGGGCGCGATGGTAGCCGTGCCGCACATCCGCCTGTTCACCGTCGCGCCCATTGGGCACGATGGTAGCCGCACCGCACATCCGCCTGTTTACCGTCGCACCCATTGGGCGTGATGGTAGCCGCCTCACACGTCCGCCTGTTCACCGTCGCGCCCATTGGGCGCGATGGTAGCCACGCCGCACATCCGCCTGTTTACCGTCGCGA